TCTAGACTAAATTGTTAAACCATCAGACGAAGTCAATACGTTTTGACATTTCCTACCCTTCGTATCACCCATTTTTGAGACCTTTGGGAAGCCGGCTTTAAATCTATTAAAATCATAACAAATCTTCGCATTTCCCTAAAACTAGAACATCCTACATCCTTAACTATTTGGGAACACTAATTCAACCTAGGTCTACCTCTACTCCTCTTAACTCCTACATCACAAATTTCTAACAACACAGAAATACCGACCCCCAATAAACTCTTCAAAACTGTTGTTCAACAAATACATTAAAAATCCGAAAATTATTCTTTGCCGACATGAATTGTTTATCATTATATCATCAGAAACAACTTGAAATGTTAGGTACCTCGTTATCGTCACTGTCCTTGTGAGGTAGATTTAATTTTTTATGGTTAGGTAACTACTAAATACACATAATTATTGTTAACATTAAATTTGTTTATTGTTCTTTTGATAAAAAAAATAGTTTGTATGTACATAGAAATTGATGTTTCTCCAGTCTGGTATTAAATATGTTCCTATTTATCCTTTCTCATAATAGTCATTTAAATAATAAAAAAGTAACAAAATGGTGAAGTTTAGATACCTAATCAATAATTGGGAGTTTATGGTAGCAATAAATCATTTATCGGTTATTTCCATTAAATTTTATTGTGGCGTGATGTATGCGTATATACTTATACGATTTAAGGGATTTTCTTTGTCAAAAGATATCAAAAAAGATAACAGGGAATAAATATAACACATATATTAACATATCAACGATTTTTTTAAATACTAAATTTTAGAAAGCTGCAATAAATATTTACTTCTTTTCTTGCACGTACCTTCATTTTAAATGCTTGACATTATGGTTTTATCTACTTGCTAATTAGACGAATCCGGCTAGCACATTTAAATTTTTATTCGTATTTTGTTTTTTTTTTTTGAATAAATTAAATAAATATATGCAGACATGCTCATATTTCAAAAACATGTTTGCCACGTTTTAGAATTATACAATATAAAACATTAGCACATACTAAGATAGATAATTTTTTGTGTTTTTTTGCTTAAATATTTCAATTTTATCATAAAGTATTTTATGAACAAACTTACTATTACTTGTATTTTACTAGATCCCAATGAGCCTAGCCTAAACACCTTTTCAAAAATCAAAGATATAATTTGTAGTTGTAATTTTTCCTATTCATATGTAATGGCAGGTAGTAATTTTATCACTCTTTTACATATAAAAAATGGGTTATCTAGTAGGCTTTCTTTACTCTTCAAGATAATATAGCGTTTACTTGTATTGTCTTTTTTAAGTGTGTATGATAAAAGTTAAAATAATTCAGCAATTTTATTACATTAACTGACGCCGTAATACTAACAAAAAAAAAACTCATTGCAAGATGAAGGCTAGTAAAGATCTGCCGTTTTTCGCATTAAATAATCATGGAAATTATATGCCTACATAAAGTTATTATCATGTAAATAATTTGGTTTATGATTCGTACGTATAAAACATATTTTAAAAACAATAGAATATTTAATTTTAAT